GCACTTTTTTAAAAAAAGTTTGCATCATGCTGAAGGTTGATGACATCACCTTGAACATGGAAAAATCATACCTATACTCTTAATAGAATGACATTGGAAATGTAATGGGGTGATTTTCCTGTACGGGTTATGGAAGTTTAAGCCATTTAAACACTTTTGGATGGATCTCAGTGGTCACACATTCAACTAAAACTAACCTTGATGCTGTCAGATTCTTGGCTTATTTTCTAACATGGAAGCAGAGCCTTTGGCGTCATTCTCCGTGACACTGATTTTGGTCAGAAAAAAACTCTTTATCTGTAGTAAAAATATGCACAAACTGGGCCAGTCTTGTGACAAGGCTGCCCATCAGCTATTGCATTCCATCCAGCTCTCTCATTAAGATTATTGACATCCTGATGTTTGTATTGTAGCAGGACTATATCCAGGGTAAGCTTTGGGAAAAAAAATTATAGAGTTGTCTTTTTCAGTGAAAGATGATGTCTGTTACCCTTTGTTGGTGAAAGCATATTGGCTATACATGCATTGATTCTGGTGGAGGTGCAGGTGTTCTCTGAACATTGTTTTTTCTCTTTTTATTTTTGCCATGTCCACACTGGATGGATAAATAGCAATATATGTCACCAGATACTGCTAAGATGATGATGAGGAGGAGGAGGAGGAGGATGGTGATTGTAGCATTTATTCAGTACCGGTGCGAGTCAAGCACTAACCATGGAATGTTACATCCACAAAACTAGTTTGTATACATCTGTGTCATCAATATGTCAGAGGAAATTTTGTAAAGCAAAAATGCCAATTTCCCCTCTTATAGTATAATTTTCTGCCTTTGCTGTGTAGGTGTGTATATTAATTTGCTTATTTTTTATTTATATTCAGTTAAAAAAGATTTTTTAAAGTGAGGTTGTGTCAATTCACCAGAATAACACATCACAATGTAGAACATTCTTGCACATAGTAGAAGCTCATCAAAGGCTTGTTATATGAATGAAGAAGTGAAACACTGACATAAGGCCTTTCTTCAGATGCTTTTATTGACAATAGGCCTTTCTTCAGATGCTTTTATTGACAACAGACCTTCCTTAGTTTTAATGGCATTCATGATTATTATGGTGCTACTTATGTGCAGAGCCTTGGCATCAGTTCCTTCCACTTTTGGCATTCTACTAAATGTCAGTATTAGTAATATTTGATCCAGGTGACCACAGTTAAAGAAGAAAATGTGAGATTCTACATATGATCTTCTACATCTTTATAAAGTGTCAGGCTCTTAGACTAAAGCTTAAACAAGAATAGTCATGAAAACATTTCTGTTCCCCAAAATCCTAACCAGAAAACTTATTTTCTTAAATGCCCCTCTCTGTTCTTCCAACAAAATAGTTCTCTGGCAATTTTGGCGTTTTCATGACAGCTCAAGAATCTTACAGAATGCCTTCAGATGAAGTTTACTATAAAGAGTTTAATTAAAGGGGAAAGCTCCTGGTAGAGTATTTCTTATACACTATTGAACGATTACATTTGGGGGGGGGGGGTGGTAATTAAATTAATGTAAAAATTTCTCATTGATATTTTTGTCACCTTGGGAAAATTTCACACTCGCTAAAGATATTAGTATATACATTCTATTCACGGCATTGTTGCTGTCATGTCTGAAGTGATTACATCCCAATTACTTGTTTTTACTTCTTTTAAACTTAAAGGTTCAAATTTTTTCTTAAACTAACAGAATAATTGTTTTGAAAATGAGTTCTATGCTTGGTTTATATAGTATTGCATAATATTTCAATATGTATATATCTTTTGTGGCAACTTGACAAATCAGTCATCACCACAATATACAAGTGGTTTTCATTTACTGAACAATACTCAGCTTAAAAAGAAGAAACAGTGCATATAGGCAAAACATTTCAATTTCAATAAGTAAATCTTGACTGTGTTCTTTCATCATAAAGTACCCATGCTAATCTGGGTTAATATTAATCTTCCTCGTGTTAATTTTTAGTCTAAGTATTGTGAAGAAAGTGATTAATACAGTGACACTTCAACTTATTGATAAAATTTAACTTTCATTTCCTTTTCATTGGAGAACTAAATTATTGCTGAAATTTGAATCAAATCTGACCTTTCTTTCCCAGTTGGTAGCACAGTGATAAATATGTGTAACACACACACTCACACACAAACACACTTAGGGCATATTGATTTTGATGGTGATGAAGAAAGACAGCATAATATTTGATGAGTTGCATTTTGCCTTTCTCCTCTCTACCTTTCTTTCTCATCTCCACAGTCCTAATTGTTACTGTGTTCAACTCTAAAGTAAACTAAAGAAATAAGAAACAGCATGAATATAAAGTGAGATAGCAATTATTTTGCTCACTTTCTTCATAGTTTATAGCATTGTTGATCAATCTCCTGTAGCTTGATTTACGAACTATTGACAGCCTTTGCTAACTACTAACCCCAAGATTATGTTTAAAATAGCAGGCCGGGCGCAGTGGCTCAAGCCTGTAATCCCAGCACTTTGGGAGGCCCAGGTGGGTGGATCACGAGGTCAAGAGATCGAGACCATCCTGGTCAACATGGTGAAACCCCGTCTCTACTAAAAATACAAAAAATTAGCTGGGCATGGTGGTGCGTGCCTGTAATCTCAGCAACTCAGGAGGCTGAGGCAGGAGAATTGCCTGAACCCAGGAGGCGGAGGTTGCAGTGAGCCGAGATCGCACCATTGCACTCCAGCCTGGGTAACAAGAGTGAAACTCGGTCTCAAAAAAAAAAAAAAAATGTATTGCCACTAAAAAAAAAAACTATAGTAACTTTTATTTTGTGCATTTATATATAGTCTCTTTTTTCTCCTTCCATCCTTCAAACTGTAACAGTTGAAATTTGGCCAGAATATTTATTAACCAAATGTTGAAGAAAAGATATTTGTTAAAAATAGTTTGGGTTATTTGCAAAAAGGAAAGAAATTAGAACAGATAAAGATTAAATGGCAGTGGAAGAGTCGGGTTAGTTTTGGCGAACAGAAAGCTGAAGCAGGGTTGATTTCCTGGCACTGCTTTCTCAGCAAAGAGAACAATTTTAATCAGTTACAAAAATATTTGTGATCCATATGTTCCTCTCTGCTCATTCCCATATGCCCATATTCTCTTTTATCCTGGTAGATGATGACTTTATGATTCAGGCATGCAAGAATAATACCTCGCTGACTTTAGAGCTCCGTGCTATTTCAAAACGTGTCCTGATAATTACGCACACACATATATCCATGCTGTCCCCACTTTGAGTTAGTTATGTGAATATCAGGTTGTCCTTTCTCTCTTCCTGGAAGGAATTATATCTTGCATCCTCCTACTGAGGCTGGAATAACGTTTCTAGGACTTAGTTTTGAAAATTACATTGCTGTTCACCTGCTGGATTACATGCCACTGTACAAATATGAGGGTCTGAAAGAGAAAGCGAAAGAGTTGCTGCAATCCTTGAGAACTTCATTTAACTTGGAAAAAGGAAAACAGAATCCAGAATGCATTTCATAACCATCTCGGACATCTATTCTAAGACATATTGGATAAGGATCTTCTTAATTAGATTCTAACTTTTAAGACATGACAATTTTTATTTGAGTATTAGCTAGAGTAGCTATGGTGAAACTGATCAAAATTGAAATATAAAAATTACTATTGATTAGCAATCCAGTTTTGTCTTAAATGGATATTTAGCTCTCAAAAGTCACATAATATCCAAAAACAAAAGAAACATAAAGTCTAATCATCCATCTTAATAAAACATGAATAAATCCAGAAACTATTGACTGTACAAGTGATTGCATTTCCAGCAGTTGTTTTCCCCTTGAACAACAAATGGCTTTGTAACCCAATATGTTATTAATATAGCCACAGTAAAATCCTATGAGGAACCAGCTGTGCTCATTTAAACTTGGGAGGAGTGGGTAGCAAGGAGAAGGGAGAGAGGGTTTCTAACGTTCAAATTAAATAACTGTGATGCATTTAGTGTTTTCATAGACAGGTATATGATGGAAGAGGTGCACATGCTGTTGCATTTAGCTGTTGTAGAGTTACAGGGAAAAGGAAGAGATGCAGCCTGATTTTGGCAAATGTTATTAGGAGCCTGTCTCTATGTTTGCATTCAAGCTGTCTTTGCCGCTGCTCCTGTAGGAGTTGTGAGAAAAAGAACGTGCGCATTATAGTGTGGATTGTTTTCAACAGCCTCGAAGTTTGCAAATCTGTTGAATCCCTCTGTCAGTGCTTCTTTGCTGTCAAACAGAATGCCCAGCTGGCGGTGGCAATCCCGATGGGGAGGGCGGGCTGTGGATAGATTGTGTTCACCCTGCAACAAGAATATTAGGAATGCTTCTTCCCAAACTATAAGTGGAGAGAAAGGAGTTTTTTCAGCCATGCCATTATAAAAGTTTTCTTTTTCTTTTTTTCTTTTCTTTCTTATTTTACTTTTGTTGAGAATGTTAAATCAAAATCTTTCAATTCACTTTATTCAGGTAACTTTCATAAATAAAGAAACCACAGAAATAGCTTTAAATATATAATGTAATCTATAATTAAGACAAAGGCTGTGGTTGGAAAAAAAGGCAAGACTTTTGCTCATAGGTGATCTTGATTCTCATTGAGGCAAACACACAAGCTTGTTTTTTTTTTTTCTTTCTTTCTTTCTTTCTTTTTTTTTTTTTTTAACACAAAGTGCCAGATTTCACTAAAAAAGGTTAAAATTGAAGTGAGTAATCTTCGGTGCATAATGCAATTGTTAATTTTAGCTCCTTGCGTGGGTGCCGTTCTGACTTGAACAGCCGGCTGTAGCCTTCATTAGAGAAGAAGCAGGCAGCTTGAGACAGGTGGAGCTGGATCAAGCTGTGAACGTGATTTGCTGGAAGCTGGTCATTAGTGTTAGAAACCCCGTCTTATTTATTTCTTTCTTCACCCTACCATGATTATTGCAAATATTATTATTTACTTTTCATCTTTTTTCAGGTTGACGATGTGTCACACTGTGTAGGGGAATCGCATGGAGATGGGCATTCCGAACTGTTAATGGGGACATGGGACTCCAGTTGTCTCTGATCACTTGTGTGGATTTTCCTGGTGTAGAACGACCGAAGCCGCTAGTAAGTCGCCAAGACCTACAGCAGGAATTCTGCACGAAAGGTAAAGGTCTTGTTGTCTGGCTGTCATCTCATTTATATTTTAGATTTATCATTATATAAATGTGCCTGCTTGCCTACAGCAGTTCACTGAATGTAACCATGACAGGAGCTGTATCAGAGACTCATTTGGCTTGTGGTTTGGAGAATTAGAGCTCAATTTGTTCACTCTATTTTAAATCTGATCACGGTCTGTTTTTTACTTAAATGCTCTAAAAAATGAGTTAGGGCACCAGAAGTCCCCTGCCTAATGCACTAAGAAACAACCTGTTTGCCAGTGGAAAATGGAACTTTTTATTTTGTTAACCACACAGACGGAGTGTCACTGAAATAGAAGAAATCCATCAGAATGCAATGGATGAAATATCCTAAAACCTCCCCAAACCTGAATGCATTGCTTACTAGGCACTTTACAGATTCAAACTACCGTCCTGTTGGAAAACTCCCTTTTACATTCCCACAATCCTTTGCCGAATAAGCCTGTGTATTTTATAGATATCATTCGATACCATCTGTTTTGTCATGGTAGATTTTAGCAAAATTGCTGTGGTTTAGATTTTTCTCATGCCTCCTATTTTCAGTTGGAAATAGTTACTGAATTAGTAAGTGGTAATTGAACACTCTCAAAGAATCATATTAAAACTCTTATTTGTCCAATAATAATTTCCATTGTAATGACTGGGAATGGGACAGTGATTGCTTGGATTTTTTTTTTTTTTTTTTTGTAAAAGAACTAACTTTCTAAGCTATAGCGTCTCTCTCTCCTCCTTCTGCTTCTTTCTTTTTTCTTTCTTCTTTTCTCTCTCCTACTCCTTCCTCCTCCTCCTTCCTCCTTCTCTTCTTTCTTTTTTTTTCTTTCTATTTTTCTCACAGCTTAAAAAAGTGAGGAGGAAGTAAATGCTAATTTATTCATGAGCCTCATTTGACAGCACTTCAGAAGGGGAAGTGTCAGGGTTTTATAAAGGTAGGGAGAAAAAAATAATAAGAGATTTTAACTCTGAAAAGCCATTTCCAGTGTCTGTAGTCTATTGTGAACCTGAGGAAGTAGAGTTTAGTTGCTGTGGCTTCATTAGAGCTGCCTGCCAGGCTTCCTTCCACAGGATCTTGTTGCACCAGCAACTGACAGGAGCTTGGGAGCTTGGGAGAGGGCTTATGCTTTTAGTAATGTAGCTGTCAGTTCAAAGCCTGGAAATGTTGACCCTGAAAGGTTTATTGCCAAAATTAGATCCCATATTTATACTGAATTATTACTTCTTCAGTAGATTTTTACCCTTGTAGACTACTGTATTCCTTATACCTAGGGAAGCATGTTTTATGTTTGGAAGCTGCAAATAATTTTTCAGTCATCTTAGATATGCTGCAGAACATCAATACCACATCTTGAGTCAGAAGTCAAGGGTCATTTGATCAAAAGTTGGAGAAATATCCTCTGGACTAGTAGTTGTGTGGGAATTATATGCCTCTAAGATTTGTTGATCCATTTTGATGGCAAGGTGTATTCACAAGTGTGTGTAGACTGGGTGTGTGGATGGGACCACTGCATCTGCCTCTTGTGCATGCCTTGGGTACTTAATTTTATCTTCTTTTATTTCCACCTTTCGTATAAAATTCTCAAAATTGCTCTTTTGGATTTGAATATGAAAGGATAAATGAAATAGTTAAAGAATTATGGTAAATGCTTCACTTTGCACTGATTTTATTTTCTGATATCTTAACCTTCTAGGGTATAAAATCTTGTTATTTTAATTTGCATCTGGGAGAATGTCTGAGCAAGGAGACCTGAATCAGGCCATAGCAGAGGAAGGAGGGACAGAGCAGGAGACGGGCACTCCAGAGAATGGCATTGTCAAATCAGAAAGTCTGGATGAAGAGGAGAAACTGGAACTGCAGGTGAGTGAGCATAAAGAGACCCTGATTCCCATCAACTGTGTGAAGCTCCCTTCTTTTATTTTCAGAATACTTTAAAGATTTGTTTTTTAAAGAGTTTCACTAGTTGTATCATTAGGAAATTCATAATGCTAGTCTCCTACTTTTTCAATATTTTTCACGTTTTGTCCTAACTCAACCACACTCTAAAATGTGTTTTGTGGGAAAAAAAAAAAAGGAAAGTATTTATTTTCTGAGTTTGCACACAGCATCCCAGTAACAATTTCTAGAACACCTCAAAATGTACATGGAAGGCTTCCCCCAAGGCAGCTTTAGACTAACTGAGTTTTAAAAATGAATTTTCTATTTCGTGGAAAGATGAAGATTCAATTCATGGAAAACTAGGGAAAATCAAAGGCAGGTGTTCCTTCGACCTTCCTGGGCATGCTAAGGCTCAAATCTTATTAGCAAACAAGCCAAACCCTAGAATTCCCAGCTGAAGAGAGAGTACTAGAATGGGGGAAAAAAGAGTGGGAGTGATTAAGTGAAGTGAAAAAGTGTTGTTAAATACATCATGATTTACAAGGGAAAGAGATTTGGTAGAAGGAAAGTAAGCTGCACTTACAAATAGCTTGTACGTATTGATTTTCTTTAACCTCAACTACGGAAGTGTCAACTCTTTATATACCAACAGTTAACAAAGGCAGAAAACTGCATGATGGCCAAAAGCCTTCAAAGCTGGCCTTTTTCTTTTCCCCTTTCCAATGGTTGCTGTAAAGAGAAAAAAGCTAAAAGTTAGTCGAAAGTTTTTAAAACCTAGGGAAGGAGGAGTCCTCCATAATGTTTGTGATATCTTGTTGCTGTTATTATGGATTTCTCTACTGTAGCCAGTAGTGACATTGTTCTCTCTTTCTTTGTTTCTCTTGGTTGTTGGTTTACTGTTTGTTTTTGTTTGTTTTATTTTCTTTCCAACATACAGAGGCGGCTGGAGGCTCAGAATCAAGAAAGAAGAAAATCCAAGGTAGGATTCTTGAGATTCTAAGTAGACCCAATATCACAGGTATAAATTGCATATTTTATATAAGAGTTAAAGGATTTACCAGCAGTTCAGATGATTGTGTCCAGATATTGCAGGGGATCACGGTTGGTTGTACTGGTGCTGTCTGCTTTTGAATTGTTTGTGTTTATGCATGTTTTACATTCTGGCACTCTGTATTTTTTATTTAGAGGATTTAGTGTTCAAATAGCTGAAAATGTATGTATTTGATTCTGTTTTCACACTTGGAGATTTGACAGTGATTTACAAAACAAATGGCCCTTGTTTTGTTTTTATTTTAAATAAAATTTGGAGCCTATGTTTTATGCTCACTACCTGATTTCTGCCTTGAAGTAAATAGATACCACTGCTTAGTACACACTCTTCATCCTTTTAACCATCTTCTCAGTCAAATCTCCTGCAAATTTAGTTTTAGTAGAAATTAATTTTGTTATTTCTTTCCCCCTGATATTTTCATGAAATGACAGCAATTCAGTCTTTATGTGTTCCCAATGTGATGTGCACAATTTAGTAAGAGTATTTTTCCAATTTATCTAGTCACATTCTTCTTTACTTTCATCCCCATCAATGCAGAGGTATGATGCTTTGAGCCATTGTAGACGGTACTGATTGGCAGACCTGAAATTCGGTTTTAAAAATCTCATTTGGGAAAGTTATGTGAATGTGGAGATGATTTGGCAGGCTGAGAATGTCTCCTGTTTGTTTTCTTTATTTTCCTTTTTTCCCCCTTTCCCCCCACCTCCTAGTCAGGAGCAGGAAAAGGTAAACTGACTCGCAGTCTTGCTGTCTGTGAGGAATCTTCTGCTAGACCAGGAGGTGAAAGTCTTCAGGATCAGGTATATCCCCTTGTCATTATCATTAATTGCATGAATGGGATCCACCTTTGTGTGCATGACTATTAATTTGGTGTTAAACTATATTTTGGGGGAGAAAAATATAATTGAAGAAAATAATTCATTTTTTGGCTTCATCCCCTGCTTATGCAACATTCTAAAATAGTCTGATGGTTTGTCACAGAGTATTACGTTTTTTTTTTTTTTCCAGACTCTCTGAAAACTGCAAATGGAAAGGAATTCAAAAGAATTTAGTTTAAAAGTTAAATAAAAAGTAGGCACAGTAGTGCTGAATTTCCTCAAAGGCTCTCTTTTGATAAGGCTGAACCAAATATAATCCCAAGTATCCTCTCTCCTTCCTTGTTGGAGATGTCTTACCTCTCAGCTCCCCAAAATGCACTTGCCTATAAGAAACACAATTGTTGGTTCATATGAAACTTATGAAATAGTGAATAAGGTGCATTGAACTTTGGAGAAATACTTTTATGGCCTTTGGTAGAGATTTCTCGATACTGCAGAAATTGTCCAGAAATAAATCTGAGCTGATGCTGACTTTAAGTTAATATTATTCATATATCACTGCATATTTTACCCATATTTTTACTCCTTACATCAAGATTAGTAGGTTGTAAAAATTTAAATTTCAACAAAACTCTTTGGTGACAAAATGGGAAACATCACATCATATTTATTTTTGCTTACCTTTTAGGCATCATATTAGCTTTTATAAAAAATGGTCTTGCTGCTGAAATTGTACTTATTTTATCAGAGGCTGAGAGCAGTCAAGACAAAAGTAAAATGGTTTACCTGAGCCCAGGGGAGGGAAACTTGATTAAGATATCATTATTTTTGTTTGGTTTGGTTTTGCTTTTCTCTTTTTACTTTAATTGAAATACTCTGAATTCCCCTCATGGAAACAGAGAGCATTGAGAGCACTTTCTTTAAAAGGACCAAAAATAAATTTCTTCTAGATTTTGTCCTAAGAGTGTTTTTTTTTTTTTTTTTTTTTTTTTTCCTAGCCTCATTTTCTTAACATGCCACTCATGTCATAAGGCATGTACAGGCTATCTTTCAGTGGCCATTATTATGTTTCACACACTTGCTTTATTTTACTTGGGCTCTGAGAAATGTGTGGCTTTCCTTCAGTATTTTATTTGTGCTTCTATTTTTAATGGAGATTGAAAAGGGGGAATAATGGGAATATCAAGGCTTATATTATTAAATGTTGATCGATGGCTTGTAATGTGCTGCACACAATATATGTTAACTTTGCAGAATGACAAACCCTGGGAAAAGTAACGCCCCAGTTGTCCCCCACTCCTAATGCCAGGCAGAGAAGAGCAGCCTTTATAGACTTAATCTTCTTTTTGTCCCATTTGACAAGGTACCAGGAGGAAACTTTTTAAGGGACCATCTGTATCATAGTGCCCACCTTGGACCTAAGTCTAGTGTCTCCATACAATTGGTGCAGAGAAATAAGGTGTAAATGGTGCTTTGTTCCTGCTGGTTCCAAGCTCAGAAACCAAGACTAGCTCTGTAGGAAAGAATAAGAGCCTGCAAGCTTCTCTTTGGATTGGCTGGGGAGTGGTGGGAGCAGGGTCCTGATAGAAAATACCCAGACACACATATAAGCAAGTGGCCGTGCTACCTTTTTAGAAAATAAAGAAACAGACTTTTGAGTTTATATGCAATGCCTTCATTAGGTACCACCGGCACTTACAAAATGTGCGAACTGAATCCCAGAGAACAGTGGCAGAAGTATACAGTATATGGATTGTATTGCTTCCCCAATGTTTGTAAATTTACAGTATTTGGAAAACTGCCTTCATTTTCCAGTGTGGGAAAAACTCTTGTTACCTGTATTACTTGATCTCAGACCCATACCTGATGGTTCAGTCTGTCCTTAAGTTAAAGGAATTTTGCTTTTCTAATGTTATACTATTTACTTATCAGTGTATTACTGCAACTTGAATCACTCTTTTACTGTTGTTGGATATAAACTTATCCTGTACCAATGTATTTATTAACACTTGTATTTTATTATTGAGCATATCAATAAAAATATTAAAAAATAACAGATTGTTTTTTACCAACTCTATAGCACTTTTGTGTGTTCTTTCAACACCGTAATGTATATGCATAGAAAAGATAATTTTTTTCCTAACTGTAGTATTTGTCAACACATGGCATCAGTTTGTACATTTTTTGTAGTGGATATTCTTCAGCCTCTGCTCATGCATTTATTAAGTCCAAGCCTCTATGATTTTAGATTCATACATACAGAGGCTAGATGTTTCAGTCAGTTTTGAAGAAGTGATGAGATGACTTTCATGGCCTGGGAGCCCTCAGTTTCCCCTGATGATTAGCTGACAAACTGAATCTTTCCCACCCCAGCCATGCCTTCGGGGCCAGAAGTGCCCCAGTGATTTCTTCAGCAAGTAGAAGCAAATCGTATGTCTAGAACCTGCCTAAACCTTTGCATATTAAGACATTTCTGTCCCAAAATGCAATAAATGACTCTATCATCAGATTGCACTCAGTGTTACATATTTTATATAAGTACATCCCCAGGAAAAACATGAAGTCGGAAAACTCGACTAAGATATTTATGGTGAAAGTATGTTTTATTTTATCATTTATATCATGTGACTTTACAATCATAGTGAAACAGGGAGTTCACAATGGAGCCCCTTCCAAAAAAGAAACTTAGCTTTGGAGAACTTTTCTTTATGATTGTTAGATTACCCAGGTTTACAGAGAACCATTAAGAAATCCAAATTTAAGAGGGTACAAGTATCAGTTTAGTCACATGTAGTGTGAGCATTAGATTAATTTTTAGTGAGCGACATTATTAGTCATTGGGATTATATTTTTCCTACATCATAAATTTTAATGTCACTAGTGGAAGAAAGCTTCCCCATCAAATGATCTCTTACATAAGAATAAGTGGGCTTAATGTTGGTTAATTTGTCATAGTTTTAATCATAGCCTAGGTTTTTCATAAAACTAAAAAACATGATTTGGCTCATTCTTCTTCAAAACAGTGAACATACTATCAATCAAATGCTGATATATGTGAGTTAATACAAAATAATCTGGTTTTAGTACCAAAAACATAAGAATAAAAATGTGGATCCAGTCCCAATACTGTAAATGACTAATCTTATATCAAATATCAGTTTAAGAGAATATTATATTTTGGAAAGGACTGATACCAAAATAAACTAACATTAAATATTTATATATTATTTATGAAAAATATAAGTCTGCTTCCTACTTTTCTAAAAGGCAATGCTTACTGTAACTATACATTATAATGATTTATTAGTGGTATTTGTAAACAATTATAATAACAGTTTATACCTCGAATTCCTGCAATTATATAGTCTGATTTTTCACAGTAGTAGAAATCATTGTTGGCCCAGTGCTAAAATTAAGTTTTTATTGTAAATTGGTATTAGTTGCTTTCTTTATGTCTGTTTTATTTGTAATTATGATTCCTAGTATCTGTCTGTCTTTGTACCAATTTCTCCTTATAAGGAATTATAAAATAAAACTATAGAAACCTTCTTTTTTTAAATATAATGGCTGTGATGCAAGCTTACTGGTAAATAAATTTTTTCTAGGTGTTTAAAAATAAACCTGTAGAAAAAATAAGTATTGTGATCTACAGGAATTCAACTTGGTTAAAATTAATATTCATGAGGCAAAGTTTCAGTACTAGATGTTCCTTCTGACCTCCCATTGACTCCTGAAGATCAAGTCATTTTAAAGGGCAATTAGTTTTCTGACAGGTTTAATTTTTACCATTTATGAAAAAAAATCTGCACCTGGTTTTCATTTTTCTATACTTTATAACCTCTATGCAAAATGGGAACCAGACAGAGATTATTAAACCTGGCCCTAAATTATTATATTTTTTCCCAACAGGACTCAATTCATTTACAGCTTTCCAGTTTTTCCAGCCTGCAAGAGGAGGATAAATCTAGGAAAGATGAATCTGAAAGAGAAAAAGAAAAGGATAAAAACAAAGATAAAACCTCTGAAAAACCCAAGATCAGAATGTTATCAAAAGGTGAATGTGAAAATGTTTTCTTAACTTACTCAATTTGGGCACATGCATAGACACAGAACACATTCTAGATTTCACATGCATATTCACCACCCACCAAACCCTGCATGTAATTCTACATGTGTACATACGTGTGTGTGTAAAAAATGTGAACGTGGTTTTCTTTCTTTCTGTTTATGATGTCATTACTTGTGTTGCTAGAGAGGTTATTTTTCAGATCACGTATTTCTTTGAATACACATTTTAATCTTCTGTTGTCAATGACAACCTTGTACAAAGGAATAAATATAAATCTGCCCTGAATTTATGTTTCTTAGACCGATTAACTTGGATTGGTGAACAATAATGAGACTGACCGTGATAGCTTAACTTTCATGTTTATCTTAAAAGACAGAGAGTAGATTAGCAATTCTCAGTTAATAAGTGATATGGTCCCCAAAGTACACATATATATATCAATGGAATACATGATTCACATTTCGTCTGGCACAGAGTAATTTAGTATTTGCACCCATCTACTTTTACATAATGTTTATTTAGAAAATGCACACTTCTACTTCAATAAATTGCTGTCCAATAAAAGTCATACCTTTACAAACCGAAAACCTATAATTCTGACAGCCCAAAACAAAACTAAGTTGAAATGAAGAGTACCATGTGTAAACAGCCTTGCAGCAGACTTAGAAAAAAATGGGCAACTGGGAAAGAAGAGAGTATCTGGTTAACTGTGGAATGAAAACCACCTCTTAACAGTTACATGTTCTATAACCATACATCTCCTTATAATTGTTGTTTCCACTGCGGAATATATAAAATCTAAGGTGTATATGACAGTAAAAAAAGTTCAGGTTTCTAAAACAGTTTTTGAAATTAAGCCTTGGACAACATTAGGATATTTAAAAGACTTGGGACTATTTAGTGTTCTCCTGTATTTTGCACTAATTAATAGATAGTCTCATAACAGAACATTCTCTTTTTTTTTTTTTTTTTTTGCCTTCTTTGTTTTAAAAGAAAAAGGGTTTCATGGGATCTCAAACTCTTGAGAGCTCTCTCTGTAGGTGGGAGTTCTGTCATGTGGAGTTTGTGCCCTTATTATTTACAGTGCAGAACGAACACGTGGTATTTGACTCCACCTCCCCCCCAACCCCAACACCTAGACTGTGCCCACTTCCCCTCCTATGACATTTGGGTCTTTCCATAGTCAGAATTTATTGGGTGTTTTCAATTCCTGAATCTAATTTTCATTCTGATGTTATATTGCCAGGTTTCTAGTTTCGAAACATGTATTTTTATACCAACAGCTTCACCTAAAATTTATCTGAGCAGGAGGGAAATAGGAAAGTTTGGGGGAACCTTTTCCACCCCACCTTTCTACTATCATTTCTGACAACTCTGACCTGCTATTTGTTTCAGATTGCAGCCAAGAATACACGGATTCTACAGGCATAGACTTACACGAGTTTCTGATTAACACATTAAAGAATAATTCCAGGTAAATTATTAAATAAGCCTCTTATTTTTAGGATCAAATAGAATATTACAAAGTTATTAATCCAACACTTCTAGGAAAGCCATTGTAAAATGCAGATACCTTCCCTGACATCTTAAACTTCTATATTTTTGTTCTGCTAATGTTTTGCATGTTTACTTTTTATAGAGAGTCTTAATAACTGGTAGTTATCCAATTAATAAATTATGGTTTAATAGCTCTGCTTTTCTAATCACAAAGATATACTAAGGAGGAAAAATAAAGAATAAAAATTATTGATGTCACATAAGCCAATCATGTTTTAATGCAGCTGTGTATTCATTTACAGTCAAAACTTGGCCTTTGTTTTCTTCCAGTTTCCTATTAATTTGAAATATACTGTTTATTTGATGTGTTTTATGATCCTAGTACCTTGCATGCCATAATTAATTTTAAGACTGCAAAATTTAGATATTTCAAAATACTTAACAGATAAGATTAGGATTATTCCTTCTTGTATTTATTAAGTATTTTAAAATACCTAAATAATCTTAAATATAATGATATATGTAAATGTATGTAAATGGTCAGCATATTCCAAAGAAGAGTTAGATACAGGTTTGTAGCAGCATACATTTAAGTAATCCTTTCCATACATTTAATTTCCATACATTTTAATTTCCATACATTTAATTAATGTAAAGACCTACATTCTTTAGGTCTTTGGAAATGGAGCATATCTAAAACCTTTTAAATATAACATTTATTTTGCAGGGACAGGATGATACTTTTGAAAATGGAGCAGGAAATTATTGATTTCATTGCTGACAACAAGTATGTTAAACTGCAATGCTGGTTAATTTGATGATGTATCCTAGTTTGGTATTTGAGTTAAATTATCCATTCTGGAAAGATTTAGGGATAGAGAAAACATTGTTTAATATGTTCCTTGATTTGTTAAATGGGGAAATTATTGGAGTCAGGAACTATATACTGATGAGAATTGTTGCTCGGACCATGTGGGCTTCTGCTTGTTAAATTCCTGACAAAATGGCTATAAACAGGGGGCCACTGATTAGCATAGAGTAGCTGTAACAAGAAGCGACCCTTTTCATTTTTATTATAGTTTTTTAATGGGCTCCAGCTGGCTGCAGTCAGTTATGCCTGAAAATAATTGTGCTGCTTTCAGTGTAAACCGTGTAATGACACATCTCCATATAGGCATCTGCAATCGCATATTATGTCACATCATTTGTCCTGTTCCTGGTCCCGTTGACAAGGTAGCATGGACTAAAATACAATACTGTCCCATAGACATTACCTTCTCTCTGGCAAGAGAAATGTGTAACTATGAAACAAAGATGCTTATTGTAGCTTAATCAATAAATCTATAACAAGTAGAAAATTTATCTGGAAAGTCAGACATTAAGAGATGCCAGAACTGGGATCTGTTTGGGAAGGGCCAAAGGATGGACAATGGTGGGGTGTGGAGGTCAGGGAGAGGTAACATGGAGAGAAATACCAGATGTAGATGATGAGGGGTTGGAGGCAGCAAACCACATTGCCATGTTTGTACCTATGCAACAATCCTGCATGTTCTGCACATATACCCCAGAATCTAAAGTATAGTTAAAGAGAGAGAGAGAGAGAGAGAGAGAGAGAGAGAGAGAGAGAGAGAGAGAGAGAGATGCCAGAAATGTAATAGGCTTAGTGGTTTAGATGAAAGAGAAATAGTTCTGTGTGTATACTTGTAAAAGGTATTATGGGCAAAAAATGAAAATGCTGATTCCACTTTTTCTTGCATTATGTTCCAGTAATCATTATAAAAAGTTCCCTCAGATGTCATCATATCAGAGGATGCTTGTCCATCGAGTGGCAGCTTACTTTGGATTGGATCACAATGTGGATCAAACAGGAAAATCTGTTATCATCAACAAGACCAGCAGCACCAGAATGTAAGCCCCATCACTGTACTTATTTAGCATTTTCTTTTTCTCCTATGGATTCATTTATAAGATCACAGTATAAAATTCACAGTATATGACATTTAAAATGTGCAGTGTTATTTATCTCTTGCTCTTATCAGAAGTAGTGTGGCATTTATCTGTAGAAGATTATCTGAGAACCAAGAAAGTTTATACAATTCAGGCAATAAAGTGGATTTATTTCCTGCTCTTTTACATAGCTTCTGAAACATAATTTTCTTTCTGCCATCAGTACTCTATGAAATTACATACAAAGCTGTGAAAAATTTTGTCAAAATATAACTTAAATTAAAAACAATAGATATTTTTAAATAACCATGACATACACAGAATAATTGTTATTTTCTTTCTTCTGCTTTTTACACATCTATCTTACTGTGGTTTCTGGAGTAATAAAAAGCTCTGAACCTAGAGGCAGAAATCCTGCCTCTAAAACCCAATTCTACTTACGAGTTGTGTGACTTGGAGCAAGTCATTTAAAATCTGCCATCTCGGTTTTTTCACCTGTAAAATGAAAGTCTTGAGCTAGATGAAATATCTAAGACTTAGCTCTAAAAAGAGGATAACAAGTTTTTTCTCCTCAAAATAATTGTTTTTATCTGAATACCTGTTCATTGTTTCACTGAATCACCAAAAGCATAATAACATGAGTAGTTATTTGCTTTGAAGCTTGGTACTGCTTTTCTCGAATCCATGTATCTTTTGAGTACAGTACAAGCCACTTCTACAACAAAAGGCCTGTTAAATTAAAAAAAACTGCCCACATAAAGCATCCAGTTTTATAATTTTCTTTTTCACAGTGTCCTTGGTAAACTGTAAATTGCACGGTCTTTAGGAATGTCAGTGAAGGGAGCTTTTGTGTCAAGCAGAGTATCATAGTTAAAATACTCTGTATTTTCTGCTCACCAGAGGTTGGGACAAGTGGGGATGGAGATGAGGCTCTTTCTCAACCCAAGCATCAGTTTGTGCTCAGCAGAGGTCAGGGGAAAGTCATAGTGAAGAGAGCACAAACTGGGAGATCGGGGACCAAGCATGGCTATGATTAATATCTCCAATAAGCACTCTACTTCTGTGGGCTTCAAATTACTTATGTATCTGTAGGATGGTTTGAACTGAATCATGTTTAAGGGCCCTTGAAGTTTCAGAATCATTCAACCCTGTAGTTGCATTCTACTGTGTTAGCACAACACATTTAAAAAATTTATCAGCTTCTCACTTTATCTGATTGTTGACACATGTGCCTCATATTTGAATAGTAGTAAAAATTATGGTAACTTTTAAAGTCCTTTATGTCTTCTCTCTCCATCCAATACTCTTTGCTGTTGTTATAGTTGTGTTGTTGTTGTTTTTCCTTATTCATTTTTTTAATGGTTTTTAGATATCATAATGCAGGGACATCCTGATTGCAAAATAGAGAAGCAGTTGACTACTTCCTTTTATTTTTTCTTCTTCTTTGTCTATAAGGTTATAGCAAACATGGAAAACCTCCATAGTTCAAGCATATTAAATATGATACAGTTTCAACTGGTGGATAATAGATTTATTTTTAATTCACACTGATTTTGCAATCACATAGTCATAAATACTAGTATATATGTTTTAGACATGTTTCCTTGGAGAATGGCTTTGAGAAAATTAAGCATTATATCAAGACTCTTAGAAACTTTTGAGTACTGGCTCTAAACCTGCTCTGCCCAGTAGGTAGCCAAATATGACTATTTACATTTCAATTTACATTTATTAAGTTTATATAAAATGTAAACTTTAAAATTCAGTTCCTCTACCAGGTCAGCCACATTTCAAGTGGCTATTGGATAGAGCAGATATGGAACACTGATAGGATTTTAGAACTTTCTATTTATCAGCTCTTCTTTAAATCCTTGTGTTTCCTGCAAGCTCCCAAATACCAGTGGAGAACATAATTTGTCCTTTAAAACTTTTCTAGCTAGCAGGTATCGTATTACTAGAATTCTTCAGTTCTAGAAGAGTGCCACCTTTTTTTTTTTTAATCAATGGCCATTTAAAACTGGACACCACATGTTTATGAGTTTAGAAGAGTTGAAAGTAAGTGTGTGCAGAGAACACCTCTTGAAGGTACAGTTAAACTGGAAGACCAGGGCTCAGTCTCTGGCTAACCCTTACTCTTACATACCACACTTTAGGTACCACTTTGTAAGTCAAAGCAAATCATGCCTAAACAAAAAAGACAAATAACTGTATGTCATGGACGTTCAAGGTATTTACTGAAGTGTTGAGCTTCAATTGAACAACGTTTAATTCACAGCTGTTGAGTTCTACTGTTCTATTCTAACTACATTTCTGACCATCTTCTATGTGAGTGGCTCTTGAGGAGTATCGGTGGTTCATGCTCTGTTTGAGTAGTTCTTGAGGAGTGGTGGATAACTGATGTGTTTTAGCACAAAAAAACAAGGATGAATTAAATGTCTTTATCCAAATAGGGACAAATCACAGTTTTCAGAACCTGAATCATTGTTGGCAATTTTAGTGAAAATAAGTGGTTTTTTGTGGAAAATTATGTTTGATTTTAAGTCTGTTGCCATGCTCTTTGGGGTTGAAGTTCAAAATGGGGCATTATATCCAAAACATTCTATTCAGGTTTTAGGTGTCTTGGGTTTTTTTTGATTTTGTAAAAAATTTCAGATTTGTCTTATCAGGGCAATCAACATGTGTTAGTTACGGGAACCATATTAACTTAAAAATATTTCTGGATTGAACTGTCTCCATTTATTTGAAGGAGCGAATACTGAGATGACAGTTCCGTGTGAGTTTTGAGTTTGGGGACTACTTTTTCAATGTATACACTTTTATGCTACTCCAATGCAAATACATGAAATGTATATTTCAATGGCACTATAGGTTGAGAAAAATGCAGAAAAATGTGGCTGGGGAATGCAGAAAAATGTGGATTGAGGGTATTTTTGTTAACTGAAAGGTAGAGGGGAAAAAATCTCCGTTTATATTTTTCTTCTTCCTTGACACGTCACTACTCCTCTGACATCAACGTTTAAATAATTGTGACTATTTTAGCTCCATATTGGCTAGAATTTATTTCCCAGAATCCTGATTTTCTAGATGATAGGTAGTTTAAGTAATTATAGAATGTGACTTGAGAAGGTTAGTTTTTTCATGGAGAAGAAAGAGTTTCACACGAAATTCAAAATATCTGGGTCATAACAATACACTGTGAGGGTTACATGTGTGTGTGTACTGTACTGACCTCTAGTATTTTCAATAATATACCCAGATATAATCTATCTGCTCTTTTATGATAAAAAGAACTTGTCTCAGGATATACTTCTGTTTGTTAAATATCATCCATCACTTATAATAACATTGCCTACTGCTTATTAATTTCTCTAAGAACTTTACCTCTTATAACAATATACAATACCTGAGGCAAATGTATATTGTTACATTTAATACAAAATATATTAAATTTACAACACCTCATGTAAATGTATATTGTTACATTTAATATGAAAAACACTTAAAATATAAGTAATTAAAGCTTCATTTTGCAGAAGAAGAAAATGAGGCACAAACTGAGTTTCAGTTTGGGGCTTACATAGAAGCAATGGTTAGCATGACTGGGACCTAAACCAATGTGTCTAATATCATAAAGATTTTTTAAAATAATCTAATTCTCTTAAAGCAAAAATACCCAGAAAATACTGAGTATTCAAGAAGAGTCTCCGGATTGGTTGATGATTTCAATCCTTTTAAGTCCCTTGTTTTCTGATAAGGAAACAGTGATTGATGGACAAGATATTTTTGAAGATTAAGTCAGTGATATCATTAAGTAACAGAACCTTCCTACAATTTCATAGGTCTTGATAGATTTGTTGTGCTTATTACTGCCACAAGGTGATTTTTTTTGAAAGAATTGTGTGTGTGTGTGTGTGTGTGTGTGTGTGTACACACACATGTATATATATATACACATATATATACATATATACATTTATATATATAATTTAAGCTTTACTCCATTTTACTATTTTTCTAAGAATGAAAAAGCCATATTTATTAATTATGTTAGTGTAGGAGATGAACTTTTTTATTGTGTTATTACAAAATTACTACAACATGCATCTGATTATTCAGTTTCATGGCTTTATGTCACATCTACAAGAGCATCAAGTGTGGTTAAGAAACAGTGAGACAAGATGGAAAGGTAGTTGAAGTAAAGTCAACTATCTAGAGACTTTACATTAATATATTCCAGGTTTCTATAAATTACCTGACAAAAGCAGAGATGTTATGTTTTTGCAGTCATAAAATATCCACAGACAAAACTTTCCGGATACTGAAAATATATTTTTAGCAACTCACCCACAAGTGTATGTCCAGCACCAAGACTTCAGCATCTGTGGTCACACAGAAAATAACAAGATAGGATTCTTGTCCTCAGACGTTTTACACTATGCCTATAGATAGGTGAATAACCTCCGAATCTCAGTCGTCTTAAAACTTGAAAAATGTAGTGCAACTCTTTGTGTATCCAAAGTAGACATGTAACAAATGCCTAGAGAATAGCTCCATAATTGAACACTATACCAAATATCCAGCAGAACATATAAAGCAGATTCAATGGGGACTACCTGCCCATCCATTTCATGGTTCAAATAAGCATTTAAGAAGACATTGAGAAAGGCTAAGGCTTAAACAAATATAGTGAGGAGGGGGATACATTGCAAGCTGGAGTACAACCTATAAATGAACGTAAGATAATAATTTCTACATTTTTTGAGCATCTACTAAGAGCAGGGCATTTTGTTGAGATGGTTGTGTTAGGTTCTCAGAGCCACCTAATGACAAGGATTTTTTTTAATTATATTTTTTACTATACTAAAAAGAAAGTACTGAAGGAAAATTCATAAATTGTCTAAAATGATATTGTCAATGACAGTGGACGGCTGCATAAGATTGGATAGAACCTTGAAGGTGGG